TAATATATATATATATTTATATAAATGAAAAGCTATCAACTAGCAGCAACGGTTCTAGAGATATCTTAGCACCAAGACCAAGGGCAGGGGTGTAACAGGAGAAAGGAAAGGTTCAGTGTTGCTGATACCACCATCATGTTTCCAAACAACACAGCTTGGCACAAAGCTCGTCCCTCTGGGAAGTGAGAACGTGTCGGCTCGGACACCTTCAGGACAACAGGTTCTCACTCCCACGATGGTCTGGTCAGGTTGGTGCTGTCCATGCCACATCAGCGGGGCAAGGCACTAGCATCTGTGGAGTTTTTGCACCTTTTCCGTTTGTGGGTTTGGTTGGATTTTTTTTTTTGGTTTTTTTTTTTTTTTTTTTTCTAACCTGAAGTGATATTGTGTGAATGCCTGGAGCTCATTTACTTTAAAAGAATAAAACAAAGAAGAACCCCAAGCCCACAGAACAATCTCTTAGTGATGGAAGGTGCAAGTCCCCCATTCACATTTCAGCTGGACTCTGCATCCCTTCATAAAGGAAGAAATATTTCGCAGGAAGAAGCAGAGCATCCCTTCTTCCTGCTGTCATCAGTCTGCTGTGCTGTGGAACATGTTACCTTGGTCACAAGAGAATACGTGAACCTTTGTAGGACATCATCACGTGAATATAATCCAAGATAATTTTGCATTGATAGCTCCTGCCACCAAACCGCAGCAGGTTTTTCTTTCAGTCATTCCAAACAAAACAGAACAAAACAAAACAAAACAAAAAAACCCACAACAATCTCAGATTATAAAGACATAGTATAAATAATGTAAATTAGAATATAATTTTTAAGCCTTTGAATCTCCGCCCAGAGATGGCTCTTGACTCATTGGCTGTCTAGCTTCCACAGCAGCCCTGGTTTTGAATGAATAGTTGTATATATATATATTTTTATCTCCTACAATATAAAAATATAAATGCAAAAATTTCCCCCTGCCTTCTCTATTCTGCTATTTTATAGTCTGCACATGACATCATGTTATAATATACGTGTGATAGACTGGTACTACGGTTATCATAAAAGGAGCTGAAAGCCAAGTATTACTCTACAGCCCAAAAGTAGGGAGAACTGAGAAAGGGGCATCACAGTTTAGTGGAGGCATTTGTTTATAAATCAGAAGAAAAACCTAAAATCATGCCCTCAGCCTTTCCCTCCTGCCAGCGATCTCTGTGAGGGAAGAAAGCTCCCACTCAAGCAAAGAGAACTGGATTGAGCTGGAGAGCCAAGGGCAACATAAACGCACGGGATGCTCTGTCGAAAATCAGAAATCTGACGGTCGTCAACAAAAGGCTCAAATGGCTCAGTAACTGGACTGAACAACGGAAAGAGAGGCAGAGATTAAAACTGAGGGGAAAAAACCCAAACAACCAACACCAAAACAAAACAACACAAAAAACAACCCAACAAACCGACAACACACATACAAAGGAAACCACCGGGAGGATGAGGCTGACAAAGACCCGTTGTCTAGCTTATAGACCATTAGGTTTGAACATGTAGAGTATGGCCCCAGCACATGCTTCTGTAGAACGAAATGTTGCCACCTACACTGCAGCTGCCATGGTTGGAGACACCAGTAAATGTCTAAACATTGTCTCACTCTTTAAAATTCTGCTTAGCTTCTATCAGACGCACATCGTCTTAACTTTTACATTTTCAGTGTGGGTTTTTCCTTAATATATATAATATATATATCTTATATTATATATCAAAGTTTAGAGTATAGATTAAAAAAAATTATTCAACAGCTTTCTGATCTGAGGCATTCCTTCCTAAATATCAGGGTAAAACTCAGAGCCATGGTCCATGCTCTGCAACATCGGCTTCTGATCAAGAGACGACATCCTGCTCAACATTTCGGCTGACAGAGCGTAACTATTGCCGGATTTCTCCTCGAACCAACTATCTAGTGCCCTTTTGCAATCAAAGTTGGCAATGGGCGGCCCATTAACAGCAATCGTCAAAAGATCACTGAGCTGCTCCAGCGTGAGCCGAGAGCGGTTGTTTTTGCGCACTCTCTGCAGGGCGGTGCGCCCCTTCTCACAGCAGGCCGATGAGGTGGGAAGGACTTTGAGGATCTGAACTATTTTATTTAGGAGGGGGAATCTCTGTTTGCATTTACAAATGTGACTGAGCAAGTCTTTAAAACCGTTTTTGGTATAATAATCCACCTTGAGTTCTCGCCACTCCATCAGCAGACTCCCTCGGGTGTCCATCCCCTCTCTGCAAACCTCTCTGGAAAACCATGGGACCGTCTCCAGGTGTTCAAATATTTGTACCATATCCTCCTTCCCATAGCTCATGAGCTCATCAGTGCTTCTGGGCCAAGCTGTGAGGTCAAATACCTGACAGGCCTTCACAAATGTCCGGCTACGGGAATCAAACCTTTGGGCTAGGATCACCTGGGTCTTCTGGCAGATCTTTTCTCTGATCGACTGGAATTTGGCTTCAGCCACCCGTAGGTTTTTCACAGCAATGCCATTAAAGCTTTCACGGAAGTTCTCCTCAAATTCCTGCAGGTACTCCCCGGGCGAGTCTGCTAGCCGGCTGATTTCCTGGATGGCCTCCTCTATTTTATCATCCACCTGCGACACAAGAAGGTACTCCCCTTGGAAGACGTAGGCGAGGCGTGAAAGCACAGCAATCACATCCAGCAGGAAGTAGATGAGTTTAATCGACTGGTAGTCCATCAGGAACTGCAGGAGGGCCAAGGCAATGGCGGAAGCATCTGCCCTTTGGGTCTGGCCGCTGACGTCTTTGAGATGGGCCACGACCTCAAGGTAATCCTTGATTAGAGCGTTGAGCACATTCTGCTCCCCAATGATCCACTTCACCGCTCGAATGTCCCCCAAAAACTCAGTCTCCTCGCACAGAGTGGCTGCAGTGACCCTCAACTCACACATGAGTCGGGGAGAGTAACGATAGAAACTGAGCAGTTGCTTCAAATTGTTTTCTAGCTCCTCCAGGCACGGCAGTTCCTTCCCGCTGATTGCATCCAAAATTTCCAAGTGGGGCCTGTGCACCATAAAGGGCAGGCAGAGAAGCCAGGGCAAGGTCTTTCTGATTGTCATGAACAAGTTGGCTCTCAGGCTGGCGGTAATGTTAGCACCATCGACTCCCAAGCCAATAGTTGGCTTCTCATCCTGCAGTCGTATTCCCAGGCTGGAAAAAGCCCTGTCTAACGCTTGGAGGTAACTGTCTGTTGTACAAAAGCCCAGTTCCTGAAGAGACAGGAATTCCGTTGCCGGAGGCCCATCGCTGCTTGTGTACTGTACATAAACCGCAACCGTGTCTGCCAGCAAGTCATCACTCTGCCCGTCCAGAATGATGCTGAGGAAGGGAGACTGTCGGATGCGTTCAACCAGGTCCTCTCGAAGAGCCCGGGCGATATGGTGGATTAAGATTTGGCAGTCTCCCTCGTTCATGTACTGATCCACCACCTTCAGTTCGCACTTTCTCAGTAGTTCTGCCAGAGGCCGAAAGTCGTAGTAGGGCCTGCCCTCCAGGGCCAAGTGGTAGGCTGTATTGAAGAGCAGGGTCATATTTCGGCACATCTCTTCCGTCTTCTCTGGGTGCATCCTGAGCTTGTAAAGCTGCAGGCACTTCTTGTGGAGGTTGCTCTGGCTGTGGAGCTTTATCGTGTGTATCTTGAACTGCTTTGAGCCAATGATGAAGGCTGAAGTCCGAGAGGATTGCACTGTGTACTGCCTACAGACGTGGCACCACATTTCATTTAATGTCGGGGAGTACCGCAGAAACCAAAACTTTTTAAGCCACTCTTGCTTGAACCGCCGTATCCTCCGGCCCGTCGCAGAAGACATCTTGGAAGGCTCGTCTGTAGCAGCAATCATGTCATTGGAAACCGATTCATCAGCAGAATCCACCTCTTGGTCATCGTCCTCCATGATGGTGGGAACAGAGATGATGCTTTCTGAAGCTGTAAAAAAAAAAAAAAAAAAGGAAAAAAAATACGGTATTTACGAAGTTGCTGAGCTTAAGAAGCATCCTACAGGTGACAGTAGAGCATTGCCTGACGAGCTGGCCACAACCTGCCCTCTCCTGCCCACAACGCACTATGGCCAGAATTTGAATCATGGCTTTGAAGGGAAAATAAACCAATGTTTCTGTGTATGAACTTTGTCTCCAACGGGCCACAGTGGAGAGCAAGAAAGCAGGATGGACCGTAGTGGACATCCTGCCCACTTGCACAATACATGGTGTGACCCCAAATATTCCCTTTGGTGAAGGCTCTTGGCTACTCGACAGCACATTCCTGGAGGAAATGAAACATATAATCAGAAAGGGAGACATGGTTGTGTTAAACCAGCGGAGGAAAACAGAAAGGCTTTCCAACAAAGGACACAGCGGGACATCATTTCATACACAAAGAGCGCACGGTTCAGTGTTACCACAGAGTCATTCAGACTTTCTTGGTAGCATGTGAGGCACTGCAGAGGGGCTCCTGCTAATGCATCAAAAATACAGCAAACAAACTGTCTGCAATGGAATGTCTTTTTTATTGGCAGTGCATTATCAATTACAACAGCAACAAATAGAGCAAGTTGTCATACAGAGTCTTTCCCAGACAGTGTTTTCCGCTGTGCCCACAGCTGTGTCAGCTCCTGGCCCACCCGGTCACAAAACCTGACAATGAACCTTCCAAGGAACCACATGTTCCCCTGAATACTCAGAGCAAAATGCTTTAGATGGGTACAGAGCACACAGGCATCTCACTACTCTCCTTAGGCAGGGTTTGGAGAATGCCGTTACTTGGCAAGGCTTACCTGTGGGGTCCGAGAACTCTTGGAGCTCGGGTACCTGGGGCGGTAACACAGGTGGCTCGGGTAACTTCCCAGATCTCAGCATGTCTAACTCAGCCTGCAGCTCCCGAATCTTCTTCTTCAGACGGATGCAGTTGGGGCAAAAGGAGGTGGTGGGGATTTCGTGGGAGTTGCCTTGTGCAGAGGCCAGTGACAGCTCAGTCGGACTGTCTGCTTTGAGCGACAGGGGCTCTTCTTCCTCATCTTCAAGGATGCCCACCTCTTTGGCTGAGCTGAAAGAGGAACCGTGGGGGACCTTCCATTCCCCCTCGCTCCGGTTTCTGCTGAGGTTCAAGGAGCCGTGCTGCATGGCACCACCACACCTCTCAAAGATGTCCTCAGCTGGGTAGGTAGACGCTTTTCTGATGGTACTTGTTGCCAACTGGTTCTCTTCAAATTTGGCTGACTCCAAGGAGGCCTCCAGGACGTCTTTGAAGATGAGGTCAATCTTTTTTTTCTTTGTTTGGGGGTGGGATTCCCCCTCGTCACAGCTGCGTTTGTAGGGGCTCTTCCCTTGCTTTAAGAGGGCGAACTGGAGCGGCCCCCTCCCATCCTCTTGATTTTCCACATTCTTTTCTGACTTTTCCCTCTGCAACTTTTTGTCTCCTAAAAAGGAAAATGAGGGATGGGGATTATCACCGGGAACCGAGCAACATCCCTCAATCTAAAACTCAAACGAAAAAAAGAACAAAAAGGCAGGCTGAATGCCTGCGGGTCTGCATGTTGCGTTACAAACCAGGGAACTGACACAACTCAGTGGAAACCGAGGCTCGCGAGAGGAGGAGCCCCGCTAATGGGCACGTCTGCAAAAACAGAGACAGTCCTGGGTAGCCACAGCGGAGTAGGACCCACACACTTTACAGAGAAGAGAAACTACAGGCAGCTTGTTTAACCTAAAGGTATAACCAACCTGCGCTGGAAGAGGACTACGAGGTGAATGACTGATCGCAGTGGAACCTAACGCCCAGAGCCCAGGCGCCGTTTTGGCTGGCTGGAAGACCTGTGCCTGTTTTGACTTGGTAAAAGGTATCAAGTGTACAGCAGTGCAGCGAGAGATTCGGACCGTTTCGTGACAACCCCAGTGTCTGTGCGCGCCACGGCACAAAGTTTGCAAGCCCCTTTACTCTCGTTCAGTTTGGAAGCTGCTCCAAGTAAAAATACCGTGCACTCTTAAACCCCAAGGTACTCATTGTCAACTGAGCTACAACGGGTGAATGCCCGCCAAGGATGGGACATCTAGCTTGTCCCGGTGGAGTCTAAGAGTGTGGCCATTCAGTGATTTAAAAAAAAAAATAATAAAAGCAACCTCATACAAATTATTAATTGCTTAAAATAAAGGGAATAGCCAGATTTCCTTACCTGGAGATTCAAAAGACGATAGGTTTGGCTCAATTTCCATCATTCTTCTATCTTGTAAATAACTTCAAGCATTGATGGCTTCCCAAACAAGACGCTGCTTTATGCGGATTTTTGGTTTTGTTTGCTTTTAAAGTGTATTCATGCTTTCATAAGAGTTACGGAGCAAAAGCTACCATTCCCTCTCTAAGGAGAGCAATGCTAAGAATGCAGAAAAGATGCAAGACTCGAAACAGTTAGAGTAAGGCACTGTAAGAAGGGCTGGCCCGATTGGCAGGGATTTTGCACTGGGTTTTGATGCTGGCTGGCAAACCCAGCCACTTCTTGAGTGAATCTGTAACAACAGATCTCACTTTCAACACACTGACGAGAATTTCTAGAGGCAAAGCTGTGAGTCTCTGACTTAGTATTTCCCCTGTTACAGACCACAACGATTACTGGCAGAGGCAGGGATTTAGAGAATACATCATTCTTCTTTTTTGGTGATTGTTTCCCCAACCAACTGAGTGGTTCAGCCATATGGGAAAGCTAGAAATCACAAGACAATCCCTCATGTCATTGGTCTCAACTCCACTGATGAGGTGAGTCAAAAACTACTGACAGAAACAAAACCCGGGAACCACGTTACTTTTCTGTGAATTCATAAAGTGTGCCACTTCACTCAACAGGCTCGTCTGCAGGGGATTTGAAACCCTTTAAATAGAGAGTGACTCAACAGATGTTGGTGCCGCTCCCTGACCACCTCCCAGTGCCCTCCCGGCTGAGGCTGTGATGTCTCTAGCAACGGCCCAAGTGATGCTCCGTTTGAACAATGTCACTGTGCTCCTTTTACCAATGCAGGCTGAGCTCAGCTTGCTGCAGGATGAGCTCTCCGAGACGTCAGGGGGATTCTAGGACAGCCTCTGCAGCCACAGGGGTTTCTACCTGAGTGTGTGGTAGGCTGTGGCAGGTCCTGAGAAGACCTCGGGCAGACCTTCACCACGCTTGTAGCACAGAGCAGGCTGTGAGTTAGCATTTCAGCTCACACAAACCGTGACACCACGGGAAACCATGACTAAAGGCCTGTCTGTGTGGCAGGGCAGTCGTTGGTAGCCTTGGTGCCCCTCCACAGCAGCTGCTCCAAGGGCACAGTCTGTACCTTGCTGTACGTTCAGAAAGTACTAAGCTACCTGGACGACTTATGTGTACATGGGATGCAGCAAAATTCCTGCAGCCTGCACTTCATCACTCAGTGATATTTATTAACATAAAAAAGAAGATTCACACCGATTTTAATTCAGCAATGGGAATTGCCCAAGTACAGACATCAAGACGTAACACTGCAAGTGCATAACTCCAAGGTGATGGAGGATAATCAGCTTTTTCAGGACATCTTGTCCACCCCATGATTAAAGAGCAGACACCTTTTACCAAGTCAAGGCAGCAACAGCAGCTGTGTAATAATATACAGGGGAATCTTAATTAGAAAGTTATATTTAGTGTGGCTGCCCCTCTGAGGCCCTGCCATTCTGTGGCTAGGCCTGGAAAGAAATGCCCTTAATTAACTTCAGGTCTCAGCACTGTAGAGATGAACAAATGCATTAAGAATTTTTGCCTTCATCTAAAGCTTCCTGTATTGCTGACATTACACTGACCTAAAGGACCACTGGGTTTGTTCCAGCATGGCTACTCCTAAGACACAACTTTTATTCAGGGAAGAATCAGTCTGACAAGTACAAAGCCTCCTGTACGTTGTACATGCACTCTAAGGTTGTGAGACTAAGGAGTCTCTAGCTGATGTCGCGCTGATCCCAAATTATCTTTCTGAAGAAAGAGGAGATAAATTAAGCGAGGAAAATGGACATACAAACACACCAAGGAAATCTCTCTTTCGCAGGCACACAAACCAGCCACAGCTCCCTCAAACAGGCTGCTCACAGGAGCCAGAGAGAGCAGCATGTTCAGAAGAAAAACCTAATGCCTGTCTGGGGGACCACCAGCTTGGCAAGCTTCAGTCCAGAAAGTCTTGTGACAAAGGAGCTCCGTGATCCCTGGGCTTTGCATCAGACCCTTGCAGCACACACGCGACACGACACAGCACAAATCTTTCTTTCACGGTCACCGTGACAGTGGTTACATTATTCTTCTTGTACACCCATCCATCCGTGCCACGCGGCGCTCTCGCCCAGGGTGCTTCGTTTCTAGAAATGCCGCTCTCCTCGCACAGCCTGCGCATCACCTACTTCACCCACCGCGCTCGGTCCTGCAAGCATGGCAGCCCAAGGGGGTTGGGGAGAGGGTGGGAAGGGAGGGGACTCACCGCTTGTGAGATTTCTGTTGATGGTCTCCTGGGACATACTATGCAACCGCTTCATGTAATCCTCGCTGTACCAGACCCGCAGCTTCTCCCCAGGGCGGATGTCACGGCAGGCGCGGAAGTAAATCCTCTCGCTGTGCTGGAAGGCCATAAGGTTCTGCTCCCGCTCCTCCCGGGAGATGATCACGTACCTGAGGGCAAGGTGACAAGGCAGCTGTGAAGCACAAACATTTTTCCTGGGCTCCCTTTGCGCCAGAATGACAACCACGATGAAGCCAGAATGACCTTCAGAGAGAGCCATCAACACAGCCAGACTGGAAAGGATGGAGTTACCAGTAACGGTGTGCAAATCGCCGGAGATACGGCACAGCGAGCATGGACACCCAGGGAACACTAAGCCAGTGGGTCCAGTTCTGCTGTGGGAGGGATGACAGCAAGGTACATCCAATCTGAAAGAGCGTCTCTGCCAGTAAGGGTGACACTCACTCTCACGGGCAGAAATTTATTTGCCTAGTGATGGAAACAAGGACTTCTGAATTCCCCACAGATTCACAGAGCGGTAGGGGTTGGAAGGGACCTCTAGAGATCATCTAGTCCAGCCCTCCCTGCCTTAGCAGAATCATCTAGAGTAGATCACACAGGAACAAGTCCAGGCAGCTTTTGAAAGTCTCCAGGGAAGGAGACTCCACCACCTCCCTGGGCAGCCTGTGCCAGTGCTCTGTCACCCTCACAGTGAAGAAGTGTTTCCTCATGGTCAGGTTGAACCTTCTGTCTTCCAGTTTATGGCCATTGCCCCTAGTCCTGCCATCACTTCATATTCCAAGGCCTCCTCCCTTGTTCTCAGGAGCATCTGGAATATGGCAGGGTCCCTCTGCAAGTCTCTTTCCCAAAACCACCATCTTCCTTTTTAGCAGAAACCAGACTTCCTTGCTTCTCTCCTCTCAGACAAGCAGAATTGAGATAGGGCAGAAACAGGGACACCTAATGTGCATGGAGGTGTTCATTGGTTGTCCTAAAGGAAACCAAGGACATGCCGGTAACAGAAGGTTTTTTACCTGGGCGTTCAGCGGGGTGTGACCTAAAAAATATGAACAGCCCTGCAAGTCTCAGGAAAGCCCAGCATCACATTGTGGGGATTTCCTGGTGCTGCTGACACCAAGATCGCTTTCTGGGCATGGCATTTGTTTTCCTGATTTAAAACAGCTAAATTTCAGCTCAACAGAAATTTATTTAATTCACACTCCAAACAACTGGCCCTCTGTGCAACTTGGTAAGACAGATCTATAGATCTATAGCTAGGATCATATTGTTCGCTCTCACACTCCCTGTGTTCTCACTAGGAAGGAAAACTGCTATCACCAAGGAAAAGGCTTGGTAATACCAGTTTCAGCTACCACCAACATGATTGTGTAACACTCGCCCAGGACCAGGAGGCCCTGTCACAGTACGTACAGACACAAGAGCTAATCTGAACAGTTCACAGCTAAAAGCTTTTTCTTCTCTTAGGCCATTTACCTCTATTATTCAGCACTCACTGCCACAGGAACATTAGCGAAGGCGAGTGGCATATGGCTCCTCTGACATCTGCTGCTCCTAGTCCTTGCCCAAACGTTCCCTTATAGCTCACAGGCATTTCTTCGGCTTAAGAAATCCCGTCATTTTTTCCTTGAAGGCTCTCCCTTTCTCCAGCCATGTGCATGCACAGATAAAGGCAAGAGCCCACCTGCACATGATCACATCAACCCGCACATGTAAGGTCACAAACGTGGTGAAACTTCCCACAAAACACAGAAAACGAGTCTGCAGTGTTTCAGACTGCCCCAGGCTCCAGCAATTCTGGTTTTAATGTTAAGCAACTGTGCCTGTGCCCGCAATCAGCTGTATTTTTCCTTATGTGTGCTACCCAGGATGCTCTGCAATCCTCAGTAATTATTTAAACAGCAGGCTCTGGCACTGCCAAAATTAGCTGAACACTGGCTTTGGTTAACCCTTATTTTATTTTTGATCACAAAACAAAGGAACTTGTAAAAGACCCGTGTGTGTATTTGAGGAGGAACGGACCAGCGCGGTAGGAGGAGGTCCTGAACGGCACACAGCTGGTGCTGCCGGGCTGTCGCTTCTGGGTGCTGGTAATCACTCCCCAAAAGGTGTATCAGGCATTCGGACAGTCACAAGATAGACAACCCTTGAGATACAGCAATGTGCTGCTGTCAGTCTGATGCCCTGCACCACAGGAGATCCTAGAGGACCCTCTTCCCCATCCAAGCAAAATGCCAGGATGCTTCCTAGCACCAGCTAAGGACAGACCCTGCGGCTGCTCTGTATCCTGCTGCCCAAACATCAGGCAGAGCAATGACAAGAGCAGGCTGACCCTGCAAAATGAGCCCAGTTACCTGCAAAGATTTATCACCCTGAAGTCGCTCACAGCTCTTGAATACAACATACAGGACCCACATCCCCCCAGCCAGCGGCACCAAGGAATTTGCTGGGCAGCAAATTTGATGGTCCAGTGCATTCCACACAAACTGCATCTGACAGTGAGATTTTAAAAATGCCCTAAAACACACCTTTGTGTGGGAAGGGGAGAGCCTGGTTAACCATTCCCTTCAGGGCTCACTTTTATTACCCAGTATTTCATTACGCACCAGCACGCTTTTCACGCTGGCCGCTCTAAAGCCCTCCGAGTCAAGCCCAAGCGTGTCCCTCAGCTCTGCCACCTGGGTCCCGCAGCTTCGGCTGCTCCTGACGCAGCAGGGAGTAGGGAGGAGAGCGGAGGCTGGAGGGAGTGAGCTGCTGTACAGCTGCAGCCCCGTGGTCACCCGCGTCCATCCAGCATCCCGCAGCCACCGCCGACTCCACCAGGAGCTACGCAGAAAGCCCTTAATGGAGAGTTGTGGAATCATCCAGCCACAAACGGGTTTCGTCACAGCTGCTGGCAGCTGGTAACTGGCTCACGCTCCTAGAGAGGAAGCTTTACCTTCATGACACTTCCCTGAGGTAAGGTAAATGACGATGAGATCATCCACATAAATGAACCGCTTTCAAACCAGGGCTGCCCAGACCTGGCTCCAGTGACCCCAGAGGCACCCAAGATACAGGTTATGAAACATCAACCCCAAATTCCACCTGTTGGTCTCGGATGCCTTGTGCTGCTGTGCACCACGGGTCAGGGGCACAAACTACCTGCTGCGGGGGACCGCACGAACTGCCTGCACTGACACATCTTCCTGAGACTGAAGCACTCACGCCCTGAACAACCCCTCCCATGAAGGCTGGAAAGTGGCCAGTCCCCTTCCCGATGCCAAACACTCAAGCTGGACTGAGGCAAGGCTACCTGGGTGTAGAAGCCCAGGACAGGCATGGCTAGGCTGACACAAGTACTGCATGCAGAGAGGCATGGCCCCACTTCATAGTGGCTTTCCCAAGGGATCGTGATCTCCGAGGAGGAGTGGGTTTAGGACCCCTGCATCCAGAGATGCTTGTGTTCCTGTAGATAGGCATTTCATCTCCCACATGGTCCCTGGGACAGGCCAGGCTCAAGAACACCACAGAGCCTGCCCAGGGTACTCAGGTACCAGCACTGACGGAGACCACTGATGACCCACTTACAGCTACTGGGGCTTGGATCAACCCCATGGCTGCCAGACGCACAGCTCCTTGCTCCATGGGGACACCCTTCCCACAGCCTTTCTAGGTAGCAGCAAAAAAACATACTCATCTCCCTTTTTTCTAAGCCACAGCCCACTCAAGACACCAAATTTTGGGATGGTCCAGTGAGCATGCCCAGAAAAACGACAAGGTATTTTTTGGCAGCTGGGACCATTCCTCCCCAGGAGTGGAATGGAGCAGCCAGGAGAGACAGTGAGGAGGAATGAGATCCTCACAGCTAGAAGGAGGCTCAGGCTTCTGCCCCACCCTCCCCAGGATTTGCCCCATACCTCCCCCCATGCCTGCTCTCCCCTCCTCTGCTCACCTTCTGGCTGGCCCCAGGGGTGCCCTGCTGACACCCTGCCGGGGCAGAGCACCGCAGGCACGAGGCCGCTGGCCCCTCCCAAACCAAGGAGGAGATCCCATGCAAGAGAGCTGCCGCCAACCCAGGCGGACGCCACGGGTGCCATACCCACAGCTCTTCATCATCCAGTGCCCTCCAGGAGACCCAGCACCTGCGAGGGGCTTGTTACCGGTTCAGGCAAAAACTGAACGAGAGAAACAAATGACTCGACAGCAGCTGTGTTACAAGTGTTATGTATTTATTGCATTCTTAACAAAAATACTTTTAAAGAGATAATTTTTTCAGCATGTACAATACATGGAGGTACTGGGGCTGAGCACAGCAGTTTGCTTTGACATGGGCACTTACTTCAACAGTCAGTTAACATGATGGGTGCAGGAGGAAGTATCCTTTGCGAGCCAGTACAGAATAGCCACTCCACCGAGGGGTCTACACAGGGCAGGAGATACATCCCCAGATCTAGGCCAATCTGTAACAGTCCACAGAGGAAACTGGGGGAGACATCAAGCAGTTCATAGTACAAGGTCCTTTCTCCTGACCAGCGCCCAGCCTTTAGGGGTTTATATTGAAGGCTGTGTATCCCACACCAGGATTCTCTCTCTAAACAGGCCTGTGGGCAAACTGATGGCAGCAACGATGCCAACTCCCTCCAGCGCCCAGCACCTGCGGGAGTCTCCTCCTCTGCAGACCTGAGGGTTACCGGAAGGACCCCCCAGACAACATCAGAGGAGCTAATCCTATCAGTATATCCATGGGAGAATATCACCAGGGACCAAATATTATAAAAATATAAAACACTACTTCTAATATATAGCTGCAGCACTGTATTGACTCAGAAAGCCTTAACAGCATTTTTTCAGTTCTCTGCGATTCATAAATTAGATCCACTTCTACCAGATTTCCCAATCTTCCCTTCAACTGAAGGGAGACTGTGACTTTCACAAAATACAAATCTTGTAACAGAAGTAAAATTACATCCTCAGAGGAAGGTAAGCGAGTACTGCCATGGTCTGGCAACAGCATAACAAGGACTGTCCTCTGTGTGAAACCAGCGTGGGTGATTCAAGAAAGGAGTTTTCCCTCCTTGCCAGACCTCTACTTCCTTGAGCAAGGGCCTTTTACCACACCACTAAAATAAATTACTTAAATTAGAATTACAGAACAATTACAAAGAAGAAA